GGGAATGCTTCCAGCTTTTGCCCATTCAGTACTATATTGGCTATAGGATTGTCATAAATAGCTCTCATTATTTTGAGATAAGTTCCATCAATACCTAGTTTATTGAGAGTTTTTAACATGAAGGGATGTTGAATTTTATCAGAGACCTTTTGTACATCTACTGTGTTAATCATGGTTTTTGTCACTGGTTCTGTTTATGTAATGGATTACGTTTATTGATTTGCATATGTTGAACCAGCCTTGCATCCCAGAAACTTGGTCGTGGTGGATAAGCTTTTTGATGTGCTGATGGATGCGGTTTGTCAGTATTTTATTGAGAATTTTCACATTGATGCTTATCAGGGATATTGGCCTTAAGTTTTCTTTTTTTGTTGTGTCTCTACCAGGTTTTGGTTATCAGGATGATGCTGGCCACATAAAATGAGTTAGGGAGGTATCCTTCCTTTTCAGTTGTTTGGAATAACTTCAGAAGGAGTGGTACCAACTCCTCTTTGTACCTGGGTTAGAATTCGGCTGTGAATCCATTTGGATCTGGGCTTTTTTTGGTTGGTAGATTATTAGTTAGTACCTCAATTTCAGGACTTGTTATTGGTCTATTCAAGGATTCAGCTTCTTCCTGGATTAGTCTTGGGAGGGTGTATGTGTCCAAGAATTTACCAATTTCTTCTAGATTTTCTAGTTTATTTGCATAGAGGTGTTTATAGTATTCTCTTGATGGTAGTTTTTATTTCTCTGGTATCAGTGGTGATATCCCCTTTAACATTTTTTTTTGTTGTGTCTATTTGATTCTTCTCTCTTTTCTTTGTTAGTCTAGCTAATGGTCTGTTTTGTCTATCTTTTCAAAAAACCAGCACCTGAATTCATTAATTTTTTGAAGGGCTTTTTGTGTCTCTGTCTCCTTTGGTTCTGCTCTGTTTTTAGTCATTTCTTGTCTTGTGCTAGCTTTTGGATTTGTTTGCTCTTACTTCTCTAGTTCTTTTAATTGTGATGTTAGGGTGTTGATTTGAGATCTTTCTAGCTTGCTGATGTGGATACTTAGTGCTATAAATTTTCTTCTTAGCACTCCTTTAGCTGTGTCTCAGAGATTCTGGTATGTTGTCTCTTTGTTCTAATTGGTTTCCAAGTACTTCTTGATTTCTGCCTTAATTTCATTATTAACCCAGGTGTCTTTTAGGAGCAGGTTGTTCAGTTTCCATGTCCTTATGTGGTTTTGAGTGAGTTTCTTAATCCTGAATTCTTATTTGATTTTATTGTGGTCTGAGAGACTATTTGTTATGATTTCAGTTATTTTGCATTTGCTGAGGAGTGTTTTACTTCCAATTATGTGGTGGATTTTAGAATAAGTGTCATGTGGCACTGAGAAGAATGTATGTTCTGTTTATTTGGAGTGGAGAGTTCTGTAGATGTCTGTTAGTTTCACTTGATCAAGAGCTGAGTTCAAGTCTCAAATATCCTTGTTAATGTTCTGTCTTGTTGATCTGTGTAATATTGACAGTGGAGTGCTAAAGTCTCCCACTATTATGTGGGAGTCTAAGTCTCTTTGTAGGTCTCTTAGAACTTGCTTTATGAATCTGTGTGCTCCTGTATTGGGTGCATATATATTTAGGATAGTTAGCTTTTCTTCTTTAATTGATCCCTTTACCATTATATAATGCTCTTTTCTTTTTTGATCTTTGTTGGTTTAAAATCTATTTTATCAGACAAGGATTGCAACCCCTGCTTTTTGTTGTTTCTGATTTGCTTGGTAAATTTTCCTCTATCCCTTTATTGTCAGCCTATGTGTGTCTTTGCATGTGAGATGGGTCTCCTGAATATAGCTCTTCAATGGGTCTTGACTCTATGCAATTTGCCAGTCTGTACCTTTTAATTGGGGCATTTAGCCTATTTACGTTTAAGGTTATTATTGTTAGGTGTGAATTTAATCCTGTCATCATGATGCTAGCTGGTTATTTGGCACACTAGTTGATGCAGTTCCTTCATATCATAGTGTCATTGGTCTTTATATTTTGGTGTGTTTTTGCAGTGGCTGGTACCGGTGTTTTCTTTCCATATTTAGTGCTTCCTTTGGAAACTCTTGCATGGCAGGCCTTGTGGTGATGAAGTCCCTTAGCATTTGCTTGTCTGGAAAGCATTTCCTTTTTTATTTCTCCTTTGCTCATGAAGTTTAGTTTGGCTGGATATGAAATTCTGGGTTGAAAATTCTTTAAGAATGTTGAATATCGGCCCCAACTCTTTTCTGGCTTGTAGGGTTTCTGCCGAGAGATCGCTTGTTAGTCTGATGGGCTTCCCTTCATAGGTGACCTGACCTTTCTCTCTGACTACCCTTAACGTTTTTTTCTTAATTTCGGCCTTGGAGAATCTGATGATTATGTGTCTTTGGGTTGATCATCTCATGGAATATCTTAGCGGTGGTCTCTGTATTAACTAAATTTGAATGTTGGCGTGTCTTGCTAGGTTGGTTGAATTCTCCTGGATAATATCCTGAAGTGTGTTTTCCAACTTGGTTCCATTCACCTTGTCTCTTTCAAGTATTTCAGTCAATCATAGGTTCATTCTTTTTACGTAGTCCAGTATTTCTCAGAGGTTTTGTTCTTTTTTTAAAAATTATTTTTTCTCTGATCTTGTCTGTATGCCTTTTTCAGCATGGTGGTCTTTAAACTCTTATATCCTTTATTTCACTTGATTGATTTGGCTATTGATACTTGTGTTTGCTTCACGAAGTTCTCAATCTGTGTTTTTCAGCTGTATCAGGTCATTAATATTCCTCTCTAAACTGGTTATTCTGGTTAGCAGCTCCTATAACCTTTTATCAAGGTTCTTAGCTTCATTGGGTTAGAACATGCTTCTTTAGCTCAGCAGAATTTGTAATTACTTAACTTTTGAAGCCTACTCCTGTCAATTAGTTCATCTCATCCTCTGTCCAATTCTGTGCCCTTGCTGGAGAGGTGTTGAGATCATTTGGAGGAGAAGAGACATTCTGTTTTTTGGAATTTTCAGCATTTTTGCACTGGTTTTTTCCTCATCTTTGTGGATTTATCTACCTTTGATCTTTGAGGCTGATGAACTTTGGATGGGATTTTTGTGGGGGTTCTTGTTTGTTGATGTTGTTGTTGCTTTCTGTTTGTTAGTTTTTCTTCAAACAGGCCCCTCTTCTGCAGGGCTGTAGCAGTTTGCTGGGCGGGGTTCCACTCCAGATGCTGTTCACCTGAGTATCACCAGTGTAGGCTGCAGAACAGCAAAGATTGCTACCTGCTCCTTTCTCTGGAAGCTTTGTCCAAGAGGGGCACTGGCCTGATGCCAGCTGGAGCTCTCCTTTATGAGGTGTCTGTCAAGCCCTGTTGGGAGGTCGCTTCCAGAGACATAGAAGATTTTTGTGACTTTGAGTTAGACAGTGATTTCTTATATGTTACCCAAAGCCCAGTTCACAAAAGAAGAAAGTTGATAAATTAGATTACATCAGAATTTAAAACTTCTGTTCTTCAAATGATAGTGTTAGGAGAATAAAAAGACAAACTGTGGACAAGGAGCAAATATTTGCAAAGTACTGATTTGACAGAGGACTTGCATCCAGATGTTTCAAAAGACTCAAAACTTAATAGTAACTCCAACAACCCACTTAAAAAATAGACAAAAGTGATGAGCAGACACTTCAGAGATGATGCAGATATGCATCTGTAAGCATACTCAACATCATTAGCATACAGGAAATGAAAATAAAAAGTATACTATTGTCTTAGAGAGTAAGCAGAATTATTTTAATACAGACGTATTTATTGTACTTTTTAATGCAGGTTATTATGTAATGGTTTTAAAAATACTATACAGTGTAGATTAAATGATTAAATTATATCACATAGAGTCATGATTTTTCTTCAAGAAGAGTCTTGGAACTAGATGAAAATTTAGATAGGCTTTACTATAAAGTGGTAATGTTGTTTAAGCATTAGTAAGGTAATGTTCTTACTACATTCATGGCTGCCAAGAGACAGTATTTATCTGGGTAAATTTGTCACAATCCAGGATCTGTTCTCTTTCTTACTTTTTCTGGCTTTCCTCATGTTTGTGGATTTATCTACCTTTGATCTCTGAGGCTGATGACCTTTGCATGGGGTTTTTGTGGGGGGTTCTTGTTTGCTGATGTTGTTGTTATTACTTTTTGTTTGTTTTTCTTCTAATAGGCCTCTCCTGAGGATGACTGTATCTCTTACACACCATAATGATTTATTCTAAAGAGGGCATTAATTTGACTAACAGTAAATCAAAAGAGAATGAAAAAGAGACTAGCAACAAGAATAAAGGAAGGATTATCTGTAGGGAGTTTCTTTGACAGCCCAGCTTTTAAATTAAAGTCCTCAACTGAGGATTGATCATTCTCCTCTCCACCTCCCATTGATAGATACTCTGCTTTTAAGGGGAAATGGAATATGGGATTCACAGGATGGTGAGGATGACTGTGTCTCTTAAACACCATAACAACAACTCATCCTTCTGAAATTTCCCCAATTCTTTATATTAATGCATTTAGTCTCTTGAATATTAGAATGATTCTCTGCTGATCACGCTTGTGAAAACAAAATTGTTAGTATATTTATGGTTCAAGTGTATAGGTTACTATGATACACTTTGTATCTTTTTAAAATATTGATGCTTTGCTGAATCAGTCCCTTCATTTTTAAAGTCTACTTTTATATCTAGCAAGATTTTTAGTTTGAACAATAATGTATCTATATGCTGCATATTGAGTCATTTGATAACTTAGTTGTTGGTAGCTTTTTAGTATTCTCTAATCTCTTTTTTTTTTTTTTTTTTAATTTTTTTATTGGATTTTAGGTTTTGAGGTACATGAGCAGAGCATGCAAGACAGTTGCGTAGGTACACACATGGCAGTGTGCTTTGCTTTTCTTCTCCCCTTCACCCACATTTGGCATTTCTCCCCAGGCTATCCCTCCCCACCTCCCCCTCCCACTGGCCCTCCCCTTTCCCCCCCAATAGACCCCAGTGTTTAGTACTCCCCTTTCTGTGTCCATGTGTTCTCATTTTTCATCACCCACCTATGAGTGAGAATATGCGGTGTTTCATTTTCTGTTCTTGTGTCAGTTTGCTGAGGATGATGTTCTCCAGATTCATCCATGTCCCTACAAACGACACAAACTCATCATTTCTGATTGCTGCATAATATTCCATGGTGTATATGTGCCACATTTTTCCAATCCAGTCTATTATCAATGGGCATTTGGGTTGATTCCAGGTCTTTGCTATTGTAAACAGTGCTGCAATGAACATTCGTGTACATGTGTCCTTATAGTAGAACGATTTATAGTCTTTTGGATATATACCCAGTAATGGGATTGCTGGGTCAAATGGAATTTCTATTTCTAAGGCCTTGAGGAATCGCCACACCGTCTTCCACAATGGTTGAACTAATTTACACTCCTACCAACAGTGTAGAAGTGTTCCTTTTTCTCCACATCCTCTCCAGCATCTGTTGTCTCCAGATTTTTTAATGATCGCCATTCTAACTGGCGTGAGATGGTATCTCAATGTGGTTTTGATTTGCATCTCTCTGATGACCAGTGACGATGAGCATTTTTTCATATGATTGTTGGCCTCATATATGTCTTCTTTCGTAAAGTATCTGTTCATATCCTTTGCCCACTTTTGAATGGGCTTGTTTGTTTTTTTCCTGTAAATCCGTTTGAGTTCTTTGTAAATTCTGGATATCAGCCCTTTGTCAGATGGGTAGACTGCAAAAATTTTTTCCCATTCTGTTGGTTGCCGATCCACTCTAGTGACTGTTTCTTTTGCCGTGCAGAAGCTGTGGAGTTTCATTAGGTCCCATTTGTCTACTTTGGCTTTTGTTGCCAGTGCTTTTGGTGTTTTGTTCATGAAGTCCTTGCCTACTCCTATGTCCTGGATAGTTTTGCCTAGATTTCCTTCTAGGGTTTTTATGGTGCCAGGTCTTATGTTTAAGTCTTTAATCCATCTGGAGTTAATTTTAGTGTAAGGTGTCAGGAAGGGGTCCAGTTTCTGCTTTCTGCACATGGCTAGCCAGTTTTCCCAACACCATTTATTAAACATGGAATCCTTTCCCCATTGCTTGTTTTTGTCAGGTTTATCAAAGATTGTATAGTTGGATGTATGTTGTGTTGCCTCCGGTGCCTCTGTTTTGTTCCATCGGTCTATATCTCTGTTTTGGTACCAGTACCATGCTGTTTTGATTACTGTAGCCTTGTAGTATAGTTTGAAATCCGGTAGTGTGATGCCCCCCGCTGTGTTCTTTTTGCTTAGAATTGACTTGGCTATGCGGGCTCTCTTTTGGTTCCATATGAAGTTCATGGTGGTTTTTTCCAGTTCTGTGAAGAAAGTCAATGGTAGCTTGATGGGGATAGCGTTGATTCTGTAAATTACTTTGGGCAGTATAGCCATTTTCACGATATTAATTCTTCCTAACCATGAACATGGAATGTTTCTCCATCTGTTTGTGTCCTCTCTGATTTCATTGAGCAGTGGTTTGTAGTTCTCCTTGAAGAGGTCTCTTATGTTCCTTGTGAGTTGTATTCCAAGGTATTTTATTCTTTTTGTAGCATTTGTGAATGGCAGTTCGTTCTTGATTTGGCTCTCTTTAAGTCTGTTATTGGTGTATAGGAATGCTTGTGATTTTTGCACATTGATTTTATATCCTGAGACTTTGCTGAAGTTGCTTATCAGTTTCAGGAGTTTTTGGGCTGAGGCGATTGGGTCTTCTAGGTATACTATCATGTCGTCTGCAAATAGAGACAATTTGGCTTCCACCTTTCCTATTTGAATACCCTTTATTTCTTTTTCTTGCCTGAATGCTCTGGCTAGAACATCCAGTACTATATTGAATAGGAGTGGTGAAAGAGGGCATCCTTGTCTAGTGCCAGATTTCAAAGGGAATGCTTCCAGTTTTTGCCCATTCGGTATGATATTGGCTGTTGGTTTGTCATAAATAGCTTTTATTACTTTGAGATACGTTCCATCGATACCGAGTTTATTGAGGGTTTTTAGCATAAAGGGCTGTTGAATTTTGTCAAATGCCTTCTCTGCGTCAATTGAGATAATCATGTGGTTTTTGTTTTTGGTTCTGTTTATGTGGTGAATTACGTTGATAGACTTGCGTATGTTGAACCAGCCTTGCATCCCCGGGATGAATCCTACTTGATCATGATGAATAAGTTTTTTGATTTCCTGTTGTAATCGGCTTGCCAATATTTTATTGAAGATTTTTGCATCTATGTTCATCATGGATATTGGCCTGAAGTTTTCTTTTCTTGTTGGGTCTCTGCCGGGTTTTGGTATCAGAATGATGTTGGTCTCATAAAATGATTTGGGAAGGATTCCCTCTTTTTGGATTGTTTGAAATAGTTTTAGAAGGAATGGTACCAGCTCCTCCTTGTGTGTCTGGTAGAATTCGGCTGTGAACCCGTCTGGACCTGGGCTTTTTTTGTGTGGTAGGCTCTTAATTGCTGCCTCAACTTCAGACCTTGTTATTGGTCTATTCATAGTTTCAGCTTCCTCCTGGTTTAGGCTTGGGAGGACACAGGAGTCCAGGAATTTATCCATTTCTTCCAGGTTTACTAGTTTATGCGCATAGAGTTGTTTGTAATATTCTCTGATGATGGTCTGAATTTCTGTGGAATCTGTGGTGATTTCCCCTTTATCATTTTTTATTGCATCTATTTGGTTGTTCTTTTATTTTTAATCAATCTGGCTAGTGGTCTGTCTATTTTGTTGATCTTTTCAAAAAACCAGCTCTTGGATTTATTGATTTTTTGAAGGGTTTTTCGTGTCTCAATCTCCTTCAGCTCAGCTCTGATCTTAGTTTTTTCTTGTCTTCTGCTGGGTTTTGAGTTTTTTTGATCTTGCTCCTCTAGCTCTTTCAATTTTGACGATAGGGTGTCAATTTTGGATCTCTCCATTCTCCTCATATGGGCACTTATTGCTATATACTTTCCTCTAGAGACTGCTTTAAATGTGTCCCAGAGGTTCTGGCACATTGTGTCTTCGTTCTCATTGGTTTCGAAGAACTTCTTTATTTCTGTCTTCATTTCATTGTTTACGCAGTCAACATTCAAGAGCCAGTTGTTCAGTTTCCATGAAGCTGTGCGGTTCTGGGTCGGTTTCTGAATTCTGAGTTCTAACTTGATTGCACTATGGTCTGAGAGGCTGTTTGTTATGATTTCAGTTGTTTTGCATTTGTTGAGCAGTGCTTTACTTCCAATTATGTGGTCAATTTTAGAGTAGGTGTGATGTGGTGCTGAGAAGAATGTGTATTCTGTGGATTTGGGGTGGAGAGTTCTGTAAATGTCTATCAGGTTTGCTTGCTCCAGGTCTGAGTTCAAGCCCTGGATATCCTTGTTGATTTTTTGTCTGGTTGATCTGTCTAGTATTGACAGTGGAGTGTTAAAAGTCTCCCACTATTATTGTGTGGGAGTCTAAGTCTCTTTGTAAGTCATTAAGAACTTGCCTTATGTATCTGGGTGCTCCTGCATTGGGTCCATATATGTTTAGGATCGTTAGCTCTTCTTGTTGTATCGATCCTTTTACCATTATGTAATGTCCTTCTTTGTCTCTTTTGATCTTTGTTGCTTTAAAGTCTTATTTTATCAGAGATGAGAATTGCAACTCCTGCTTTTTTTTTGCTCTCCGTTTGCTTGGTAAATCTTCCTCCATCCCTTTATTTTGAGCCTTTGTGTATCCTTGCATGTGAGATGGGTTTCCTGTATACAGCACACTGATGTGTTTTGGCTTTTTATCCAATTTGCCAGTCTGTGTCTTTTGATTGGTGCATTTAGTCCATTTACATTTAGGGTTAATATTGTTATGTGTGAATCTGATACTGCCATTTTGATGCTAAGTGGCTGTTTTGCCTGTTAGTTGTTGTAGATTCTTCATTATGTTGATGCTCTTTAGCATTCAGTGTGATTTTGGAATGGCTGGTACTGATTGATCCTTTCTATGTGTAGTGCCTCTTTTAGGAGCTCTTGTAAAGCAGGCCTGGTGGTGACAAAATCTCTGAGTACTTGCTTGTTTGCAAAGGATTTTATTTTTCCTTCACTTCTGAAGCTCAGTTTGGCTGGATATGAAATTCTGGGTTGAAAGTTCTTTTCTTTAAGAATGTTGAATATTGGCCCCCACTCTCTTCTGGCTTGTAGTGTTTCTGCCGAGAGATCTGCTGTGAGTCTGATGGGCTTCCCTTTGTGGGTGACCCGAGCTTTCTCTCTGGCTGCCCTTAGTATTCTCTCCTTTATTTCAACCCTGTTGAATCTAACGATTATGTGCCTTGGGGTTGCTCTTCTTGTGGAATATCTTTGTGGTCTTCTCTGTATTTCCTGTATTTGAGTGTTGGCCTGTCTTGCTAGGTGGGGGATGTTTTCCTGGATGATGTCCTGAAGAGTATTTTCCAGCTTGGATTCATTCTCTTCGTCCCCTTCTGGTATGCCTATCAAACGTAGGTTAGGTCTCTTCACATAGTCCTACATTTCTTGGAGACTTTGTTCATTCCTTTTTGCGCTTTTTTCTCTGATCTTGGTTTCTCGTTTTATTTCGTTGAGTTGGTCTTCGACTTCAGATATTCTTGCTTCTCCTTGGTCGATTCGGCTATTGAAACTTGTGCATGCTTCGCGAAGTTCTCGTATTGTGTTTTTCAGCTCCTTTAATTCATTCATATTCCTCTCTAAGTTATCCATTCTTGTTATCATTTCCTCGAATCTTTTTTCAAATCTTTTTTCAAGGTTCTTAGTTTCTTTGCATTGATTTAATACATGATCTTTTAGCTCACAAATGTTTCTCATTATCCATTTTCTGAAGTCTAATTCCGTCATTTCGTCACAGTCATTCTCTGTCCAGCTTTGTTCCCTTGTTGGGGAGGAGTTTTGGTCCTTTCTAGGAGGCGAGGTGTTCTGGTTTCGGGTGTTTTCCACTTTTTTGTGCTGGTTTCTTCCCATCTTTGTGGATTTGTCCGGTGGTCGTCTGTGTAGTTGCTGACTTTTCAATTGGGTCTCTGAGTGGACACCCAGAATGTTGATGATGAAGTATTTCTGTTGCTTGGTTTTCCTTCTACCAGTCTAGCACCTTCGCTGTATGACTGCTGAGGTTCGCTCCAGACCCTGCTTGTCTGGGGTGCACCTCTAGCTGCTGTGGCACAGCGAGGGATGTTACCAGTTTCTTTTTCTGCTATCTTTGTCCCAGGATGATGCCTGCCTAATGTCAGTCTTTTGGATATAGAGGGGTCAGGGAGCTGCTTGAGGAGACAGTTTGTACTTTATAGGGGCTTAATTGCTGAGCTGTGAGCTCTGTTGTTCATTCAGGGTTGTTAGGCTGCTATGTTTGATTCTGCTGCAACAGAGCTCATTAAAAAATCCTTTTTTTTTCTCAAATGCTCTGTGTTGAGGGGTTTGGGCTTTATTTTTGGATGTACGTTGAGGTCCTGCCCAGCTAGGACGCAGACTAGCCACTGTTTGCCTGCTGAAGCTCTGCCCTGCTGTCCTGAGGCTCGCCCTGGCTCCGCTGTTCTGTGTTCTCCGCCATGCCCTGCGGCGGAGTCTCTCTGTTGTAGCGGGTTGCCTCGGCAACGGCAGGCTGCGTCAGCAGTGGGTGTGTATCTCAGTAGGGACGGGTTGCCTCGGCAACGGCTGGCTGCGTCAGCAATGGGCGTGTATCTCAGTTGGGGCGGGTTGCCTCGGTAATGGTGGACGCCCCTCCCCCACAGAGCGTCTTGGGCCGTCTGCACAGGGCTTGTTTCAAATCGCGGTTTTGTTCGTCCCACTAGGCCACCCCTAACGCTCTGTCCCTGCAATCCCCTGGGCTTGCCTACTGTCCAAGTCTAGCTCAGTCTCAAGTCCAGCCCTCTCACGTCTCCGGTTGCCGGTTCAACAGGACACCCGGACAAGCGCGCCCTGTGGGGAGCGCTGGGCAGGGCCGGCCACTGCCAGCCCGGCTGCCGGCTTCGTCAGGCGGAGCTTCTGCCTGGCGTCCTGCGTCTCCTCTTCACTTGGGAATTTCCCCGTTCCATGGGCAACAAAGATCAGTCTGGAAATGCAGCTCAGACTCACCTCTCCGCGGACACAACGAGAGCTCCAATCCTGGGTTGTTCTCACAGCGCCATCTTGAGTCTCTCTAATCTCTTTTCAACTTATTCTACAAATAGAGATTGTAGGAGGAAAAAATTCCTACAAAAAAGTAACCAGACCATACTTTAATTAGATACTCTTTTGTCTCTTTATGAAAATCATGATTTATAATTCATTTAATTTAATTATCAAACAATTAGGCTTCAGTATGCATATACCTTGTGGCTTGTTAGAATCTCCTATAGACAGAGTGAGTAGAATGCAGTTTCTGTGTTTGAGAAGTGTAAGGTCTGTCCTTATTTATAAACTCAGAATAAAACTGATAATGACAGGGACAGTATATTGATGATGATGATATCCATGGGGTAAACCAGTTTCCTCCTTTTGGCTCATCTGCACTTTCCTTGAAGTAACAATAAAAAACATCAGTCATTCCTTTATTGTAAAACTCGGAAAAATTGATTCACTTATTCAGCCATTGTTTATTGAATATTCATTATGTGTGCTATGTGCTATTCGAGACACTGAAAATACAAGACACTGAACAAAACTCCCTACACTTTGTAGAATTAATTTATTATCCAATGGGTCCTAAGGTCACATATCTGGTATATCTGTAAAAATCTGATTCCAAAACCTGAGCTCTTAAATCACCAATGTTGTACTCTTTACTTAAACTCTGTGGCATCATTTATTTGCTTCACAAAAGGGATTGCTGCTATTGGTAGATCTCCCAGTGTCCTTTTTTAAAAAAAAAGAAAAATCACATTTTTATTCTACCTTCCAAGAATACCTTAAATACAAAAATAAGTCTAAATGTATATTCAGTGAAAATGAGAAAATGACTCCTGATTGAAGTATAATCTCAATCAGGAGTCATTTTCCAAATATAAAACCAAAATATAAAATATATATGTATGCATATGGATGTGTGTGTTTGTATGTGTGTGTGTGTGTGTGTGTGTGTATACACATCCATACACATACACTATATATACAAAAAATATATACTTATTTCTGTATTTAAGGGGTGTGTGTGTGTGTGTGTGTGTGTGTGTATATATATGGTCATGTTTATATAGAGAATGTATTTTATGTTGGGATTATGGGTTGACTGTTACTGACTTAATATTCTTTGCTAAAACTTTATTGCATTATTGAAGAATAATTTTTTTAAAGTATAAACAAGCAATTGGATATGATAGTATTTCCTCTACTAATTTTTATTGCTTATGGTCTGTTTTCTGAGTTTTACATTTTTATTGCTAAGCTGCAATACATTAACACCATGTGTCATGAGAGAATATTCTTAAAGCCAAATTTGTCATAGAAGCATTATAATATATTTACTGTGGGTGAGGTAGTTTAAACTTACTTCATACACTGATTTCTTATTGTAGCTATGATATTTCTTAATCTGATAAAACAGTACTTATAGGTAAACATTTCTGACTTACGTATGGATGAGAGAAAGTATGATTTATATATAATAGAGACCCATTAAGTACTGAAGTAATTCATGTTTTTTGAGAGGCTACAAGATGTTGTAGTTGGTGAAGATTTTAGAAGGTTTTCTTTCAAGCCTATTAAAATTGTTCGTTGATAGGAAATGTCAAAAATGCACCATGAGCTTTGAAAGAAGCTGCAGGCTACAGCCTACACTGTGAGTCAGGTGAAAAAGTGTTTAAGTCCCCAGAGGGTGAGAGAGGAAGAGACGGCTCCAGGATATACATCTCCACAGAGGAACCTGAGAATCAAGCCCACAGGGGAAGGCCTTTACCCCACCCAGCACTGGACCTGATTTAGGGAGTGGTGACATATATAAAACCAACAACAGTGGGAGGAGCCTTACGTCCTTGCCTGCTTTCCCAGTCTACAGCACAGACCAAGGCCAGTCATTCCTTATTCTGTCTCACAGAGTATCTCATGGAAGTCCAGCAGCTAACTCAGGCAGCAATCCCAGAGGTTGAAAGAAGCTCCCAACCGAATTTCGTGATAACCTTGAATGAGGAAGAATTCCCTTGGCCAGAACCAAGGGGTTAGAGGCAAGTGTCCTATAGCCACAAGCGCAGGAGCTGGGTGCCCCAGCTGTGTGAGCAAATGCTCAACATCCCTAGTCATTAGGGAAATGCAAAATAAAACCGCAGTGAGTTACTAGCTTACTCCTGATAGAATGGCCATTATTAGATTGTCAAAAAAACATAGATGTTGGCATGGATGTGGTAAAAGGGGAATGCTTATACACTGCTGGTGGGAATGTAAATTAATACAACCTCTGTGGAAAACTGTGGAGATTCCTTAAAGAACGAAAAGTAGATCTACCATTCATTCCAGCAATCCCACTACTGGGTATCTATCCAAAGGAAAAGAAGTCATTATATGAAAAAGATGCATGCACATATATATTTATTGCAGCGCAATTTATAATTGCAAAGATAAGGAACCAACCTAAATGCCATTGACCACTGAGTGATTAAAGACAATATGATATGTATGTATGTATACATACATACACCATTGAATACTACTCATCCATAAAAAGGAATGAAATAATGTGTTTTGCAGCAACATGGATAGAGCTGGAGGCCTTTATTATAAGTGAAGTAACTCCGGAATGGAGAACCAAACATCAAATGTTGTCATAATAAGTGGGAGCTAATCTAAGAGTGCGGAAAGACTTACAGCATGATAAAATGAACTTTGGAGATTCAGAAGGGGAGGATATTTAGGGTGTGGGATAAAACAACTGTATATTAGGTACAACATACACTACTTGGGTGATAAGTGTGCTAAAATCTCAAAATTCACCACTATATAACTTATTTATGTAATCAAAAACTACTTGTACCCCAAAAGCTATTGAAATAAAAAAGAAAAAATAATATCATGGAACAGTTTCTAGTTTTCAATTAGGTTTCCCTTTATTGTAGGTCTGAAGTGACTTTTTTCTTAAATGCTGTCTTAAAAACTGTTATCTCTTGATGGAACATTGAAATTTTTTTATGACAAATTCTTCATTGGTAATTTAATGTCCATTTGTATATCTACAGTATAATGACATGATTATAAACATTTTTATTTTGTACATTTGACTTAAATGGACTCTAAATTGCTTACATATGTGACCGGGTTCAGCCACCACCAGATGGGGGTAATGTGCTCAAATCCAAATGTCCAGAAAGGCTTACGCTTAGTTATGGGTTTGTATGTGGTAGAGATAAGTATATAGAAATTATACACACATGCACACAAACCTTTTTTTAAACTAATTGAAGTTAATGTTGCTAAAATTTGTATTTAACAGATAATACCCATACCACATTTATGATTCTGTTAGTTCTTATATAGTATAAAAAATTCAGGGTAATAACTAGACAAAAAGAAGGAGCTCTTTTACTATAAACAGTATGTTATTTTTCATACATTTCAAAGTTGCAAGCATTTTTAGGTATGTGTTCTGTCATATAGAGTTGCTTAATAATACTCATAGAAGCTCTGTATTTTACTACCACTTCCTGCTGGAACACTTATAACAGTTTGAGAACAATTTATTTAGCGTAAGGTACTTCAAACTATTATGTATCAAAATTTTTCATTTTTTGGTCTTATGGATTTTCTTTTTCATTTGGATGCTTACACCAGTAGTTCTCAAGTTCTTTTCTAGTGTATGTCACTAATAATGTTAATTTGAAAAAAATGTGTCTTATTCTAAACAAAGTGCCATAGAACCATAGGCTTGCTGTGTTGCTGACTGTTCCTTTAAAATTATGCTAGCTTTCTTCTTAATGAATTACAGCTTTGTGTCTCTAAGTATAATATTGTACAGGAAAGTTAAGTGGGTTGTTCCACTTTTCATTGCCAAGATAATTTATTCCTTTAAATATAGAAAAGCTAATAACAGTTTGAAAGTTTTTATCAGTCTTTGGTAAATATGGTAAATTAAAATCGCTAAAGGCTAAGTTAGAAGGGTGGAATGTAAATTTATGATTATAGGTATACCTGTAGAATTTTACATTTTCATACTGTGTAAACATCAGGGCAGGGCCATGTGATCTTCTGAGAAACATAGTCAGTAAAATAGCTTGCAGTTTTATTCATTTGTTTTAACTTCTGTGTTAGAGACTTGAAATCTCTTGACGAATCAGAAACGTGTCCTCCTCTTAATGTATCCAAAAGGAAGATAATGCTGATGACATAGTTTTATTATTATAGCTAGGAATATATTCTATTGCTAGTGGTGATGATCTATATTGTTTTCATATTAATTATGTTAAAACTGAAGTTACTTTACTGTTGAAAAAAATCCTGAAATTATTACATCTGGTAAACCATTCTCTAAAATCCAATCAATTTATATTATGTAACTCAAAAGTGCCAAGTTAAATATCTAGGGATATATCTTATGGCAAATTTATTTTGGTAGACATATCAAGAAGGCATGATCCTGAGAATGAGGTAGTACATAGAGATTTATGAAGTTGTTTATATAGCAATTACAGAGATTAGTGACATCGGATTTGAAACAAATCTGTATCTAAATTATATGGTCTAGGTCTCTGGAAGTTCAGTTGTTCACGTCTCAAGTTTTTCCAGAGTTGTTTATTGAGAAGAATGCAGAATTTGTCAGCAAAAGTTCCTGAAGACCCCCTTCATATGTTCTAGGAAACAATTCGATAGAATCATACTTTTCAAAACAGGATGCCAGCTCTTACATCTTACATTGGTTTCCAAAGCACGTGGGTCTATATTCAGTGTAGCATACATTACCGATTGACTTCCCAGTTCCTTTCTTTCCATTCTTTCTTTTTGGCAGGGTCTCAGTTTGGTTGAGTGCTCTTCTTCCTAATAATATCTCTGGGCTCAAGGAGGGGACCACGTAATTGCTGCAGTGCTTAAATCATGATTGGTCATGATAGTTTCATTCCTTTACATAATGGTTTAAACATGTACATGCTACCTCATCTGGGCTTAGGAGGCTTTACGGGAAATGAGCTGGGGGATATTTTAGAAAGCTTTTCTTTCCCCGCCCCCCCAAAAATATGTAGATGCAAAAGAGGAATTAGAGCTGGAGATTAGATATCATCCCTACTTCTAAACTT